TGTTTAAAGTGTGACCAAACCATTGTACTGTTATATTTTGTCTTCACCCAAAAATGTAACATTATATTGAGCTCAAAAGGGCAATTAATAGTCAACATGCCATTGAATATTATTTTGACCAATTGAATCCATCAAAGACATTGAATTGACAGTGGATTGTTTAAACAAAATTAAGCAAATCGGACATGCAGACTTTAAATATGTTAATGCAGAAATGTAATTTATTTTAAATAATTCTTTGAGATATAAAAACATCTTTCTGTCCTGTTACTTTTTTGTGTTTATATTTTCAGGTAGGAAGTTTTTTTTAAAGAAAATGTTATAAAAGGTTCACAGCAGCCCACTTTACAACTTTCTCTACAAACTGTATCCTCTTTCGCACACTGATTAGCTGGCTCTGTTTCAAAGTGACTTACACAGCCTATCGCAACAAGGATAGTAAAATCCTGTGACAGGGCCAATTAAATCTATTTGTCCAAGATCTGTTACAACATTTGGCTCAAATGTTTGCCAATAGAATTTGTGTTTAACTCTTGATGAGGCAGTTACTTAGCTTGAGGAAGCTGCTTATTAGTGTGATTTCATTGACGTTTATTTGGAGATGCTGGAGCCTCTTGTCATTCATCTTATAACTATGTGATTAACTATATGAAATGTATTAATTGTATTTAATACATTTGGGCAGGGCGAAACCTTAGGCAAGTTTCCTTACACCCACACCTCTGTTTACCTAGTAGGAATCTGGTATAATAGTCAATTGGCAGATCGTTTTCTGTGGGTAATAATTCCTTGAAATTAATAAAGAAAATAAGATAATAATGTGGTCACTCAATCCACAACTGCTGTGTGCAATTAGCTGCCTTGTTTTACCCACAAACTATACAATCAATCCATTTTACAGTATATCCTGTTAAGCACTTTGAGATGTCTCAACGACGTGATAAGGTGCTATATAAAATGCAAGGATCATCATTATTATTATTTCTATACAAAGGTCAAAGTCCAAAAGGACATAGTTAGCAGTTGCACAGGATAATATGTTGGTGGTAAATACAATTTATTGCGAATACAATTGATGTAGCATTTTTTTTGTTCTGAGAAGTGAAGGGCATGCTATGATCCTTTCAGCAGGTGTACCATTTTGGCTTTGCTCCAGCACAAAGGAATTATAATATTCTTACCAGCCTGCAGCCTGAACCCTAAGTGTTATACAGTATTACTGTATACAACTGTAAATGAGTATTGCAAATAGCAGCAGCTTGATTTTTTTTCATGAGGATGGGATTCTTAAATTCTCTAGAACTTTTATTGGCAGATTTCTAACTTAATGCTTGAGAATGCAGATGGTCAATGTGTGCAATCCCTTAATGGAATATTGTGAGTAGTATTGGTCATTGATCCCAACTTATAACTCTTAGCAGCTTGTGAGCTTAAAGGACTTAAGCCCCTTTAGTGATTTTTTGGAACCAGATACTAAGACTAATATATTCCTAATGATTGCTCACCCAATTGTACTACTAATGTCTTGAAGATCTCCCTGCCTCTTACTCACTGTATCCAAAGTTGTCCCTGAAGTGACAGAGGTTCTTCAATCAAATTTCTGTTCAAGGTAATTATTTGAAGGCTTCAAAATCCAAATTTCTTATTAAATTATCTCCAGGAGAAAGATGCTGTAGACAGATGTTTTTCCATTTTTGGCACCCAGTGTCAGAATTGAGCATTCTTGCAAGATAAAGCTTGATTAGATTAGCAAAGCTCCTTCTACTCTAACCTCAGAAAAAACATTTCCTAACACACCAATACGATGTTTCTAATTCCTACTCCAGCTATTCTGTGGACTTTCTGAGGGAAATTGACAATCCATTGCTGAATTGGAACAAGTTTGTGCTCTGTGCTCACACTTCAAATTATTCAAATAGGACCCAAACAGTCACCAGTCACAGGATCCAATGTAACCTGATTTAGAGATGAAATTCACTGCATCACTAATTTCTCTTCAATAAACAGCTCTTTCCAACATAACCATATTAGACATCCAATAGGGTTATATATCCGAATTTGGATATTCCATTCAACTTTCTCTCTGTTCCCCTATTGCCCCTAAATCAGTTAGTGTACAGGAATTTACACAACAAATACGATGAAGGTACAGGTGATTTTAAAGTTGCTTTATGAAATGTGCTTTCCCAAATGGTCTAGATAGTTGAGACTCTCAGCTGGCCCATCTTCAGCTACATGCTGCATCTTTATCATTTCAAGCCTTCATGACTCTTGGCATCGTCCTCCACAAGAAAGCACCTTCCATTAAAATCATGCACTAATGTAAACTGATATGTCGTTACCACAGTTTTTCTGTTGGGTTTAGTTAGAGCCAGACATGGCTTTTTCAAGCAGTAGATTATTGCCATCAACACTTAAGTTGACGAGACTTTAAGTGATGTCCAGTACATCTCTAATTTCAAAGGGGCTTTTTGTAAACAACTTCTGAGCTAGTGCACTTAATATTAGTTAGACAGTATTTAGTGGTATTAAGGTACTGATCATATAATCCTATGATTCCATAAAGATCCTAGATGTAGTCCTGATTTCGCTATAAAAGTGGCTATTTTTTCAGATGGATGAATCTGTAAGATTGAGAGGTTTGCAATTTTTATTTTATCACCATGGGACCAAAGCAAAGGACAGGACACTGAATCTTATTGATTACTGCTTGGATCAAAGGGGAGATCACTGGGGGGTAATATACATAGAGTGGGATTGTTATGGATCTTCAACTGTGATTTTGTTTTTCATCTGAGTTAGCCACATTGTTCATATTATTGTAGGGTACATAACATGAAGAGTGAAGACAACTGACCCCAAGGTTGGCTAATCTATGTAGTGTTTTATAAATGTGACACGATCCTAGCAGATTCCTGAAATCAAAATGGGCTAAAAACAGTCCAAGCAATAAGACTGGTGTTTATCCTTAATATTCCATGGTACTTTTAATTTGTACATTTCAAAGCCTTCTTTTTTTTTAAAAAGACCAAGAAATCTATTGTAGAGTATTTGTTCAGGCTACAGTGTGTTTCAACGTCAGATGGCAAGTTTGGGACTCTCTGAAGGACTGATTCATTTGTTGTCAAGCAATACAGTTTAGCATTTGACTTGTCTTAATTTGATAGATGATATTTTATCATAAAATCTGACATTCTAAAACTGATGCAAGGCTAACGTTCTATGAAACTTATTCAATTGATTTAAAAAGATCTGACTGGATAGATTTTTTTAAAAAAAACTTTAACTGCCCAACTTTTTTAACTTTCAAGCCATAATATGGTAAGTCTACAATTTTAAAAGATTGTGGGTTCAAGCCCATGTTGGGGACTTGAGCTTGTAGTCCAGGTTCAACTCTCATCCAAAAGATAGTGCCACTTATAATGCAGGACTGCATTATAAGTGGCATTATCTTTTGGATGAGACATTAACCAGAGGTCTTATATGCTTGTTCAAGAGGATGTTTAAGATCTCATGGCACTATTTGAAAAGAGAAGGGAATTCTCCCAGTGTCATTGCCAACAATGTTCTCTTTATAATTTTAGATAATATTGACATTTGATTTAACTTCTTTCATGTCGAGAGGACATCCCAGAACACCTCACAGGATATACAGTACTGTAAAGTGGTGTAATTGTGTGCAATGTGGATGAACCCAAAATATAGATGTAAATGCTTTCACAATACAGTAATTAATAATCTTAATTTTTTTCTGTGTCTGATTTGTTACTGTAATTCAGTCTACAATATTTGCAGTGACATCACAAAATATATTATTTTATTGATGGTGTGTGTATGTGGTATATTTTACTCCTTAGAAATGTTTGCAGTTTTATTCTAATCACATTTTTTAAGGACATTGTGTTGAATTTTACAATTTATCTCTACTGGTAGAACTTTAAACTTTCTACCTATGCTAACCTATATGTTGGCATAAATCAGCATGTGCAGTGTGGATTTATTACTGACCATAAACTGAGGTATTATTTTATAAATGACTACAACAAATGTTTAATACAGATGGGTTGTAGTTTCCATGGGTTAATAATGACATCCTTCCAGTTGACAAATGTATCCACTTTGCACAATTCACATTCCTTATTAAGGAATTCTGTTAAGAAATAACACAAATTAGACCCCAATATAACATCAGCACGATTTTTTAAAATATTTACCATGCAGCTAATTTGTCAATGCCTTCTTTGGTTAGAAAATAACCTTATTTCAATTAAGAAGAAAAAAATCGAATTGAGAAGGTAAATCCAGAAAAATATTTTTGGATGTACCAAAACAGCAGAACAATATGACATGGGTTTCCTGAAGTCCACACAAGCACACTTTCTTGCATGCACTGGATAGATAATGACCAGGGATGGAAATGCTATCTAGTTTCCATTTGCTACTAACCAGGCAGATATAGAACTTGAAACCTTATGGCTCTGTATAACTCAGTTTCACTGGCTTTACCAATTACCACCAGAGGGGCTCCAAAATAATTTGTTTAAATTAAATTTGAAATGTTAAAAAAGTATACAAGTAAAACAATGTGTTATTTTTAAACTTAAGAGGGTAGATTTCTTCTGATCTAATGCTTCTTTCTGCCTTTATTGACTAAATATTCTGTGCTCTGGTGTAATTTAATATTGTGTAATTTTCTTCTCTCTGGATACAGTAGTTTGATTCTTTGTTCAGTTGTTAGAATGGAAGATTTTCCTTCTTGACTTTTATTTTGTTATAAGCTTGGTTGGTAGCAGTTTATTTTCTTGCTAATTTCTAAATATATTTAGCAACACAAAACATAGTTTAGAACCTTAAACACTTATCTCTTCTGGAAAGTTTCTTTTTAACCTAGGTATAAACTAAGATGTTCATTACAAAGGTTGTTTAGTAAATTAAGTTCCATAATTGTTGGTACAAGTCTTTTCTGAACTCTCTGAATTCACATTCTACTTTTTTTTTAGAACAACAAAAATGGGACACGGTACATTCTGGTCACCCACAGGAAGAATTAGTGAGACTGGTTGAGAGAGTCCGCTGTATCTGAAATTAGAAGTGGAGTCCGTTGGTTTTCCACCAGAAAAGTGAAATCCAAGAAGGTATTCCTGTACCCTGACGTTTATGTACTGGCTATTTTTCTACATACAGATTCTTTACACTGTAAGTCATTTCATAGTTTGTAAATCCAACTACAGTATGTGTTTTTTTAAAAAAAAACTCCCAAGTTGTATGATGTGAGCATTAGCGACACCTAGGCTCAGAAAGATTATTTCTAATTAATGGGATTTTTCTATCAAGCATTAGATATTGTTAGAAAATATTGTTGAACAATTCAAAAAATATATATCAAAGTAGTGTTAACATTGATATTGGTGTGTAACTTTTTTTATTTGATTCACTTTTTTCCTGACTTAAGCATGAAAATATTATACCTACTAAAATATTTCCTTCCTTGTTCTATTATGAAGATGCAACTAAATTTAAGGAACATTTACCTTGTGTGCTAGCTGCAAAACCTAAGGGGCAAAGAGGACAAAAAAATGTTACAGGAATTGTGGAAAATGGTATGAGTAGAATCAGGAAAAATGTTTTAGTAGGTAGGCTGAATAATCAAACAAAATCATTTCAGCAAATGAGGAGCTCTAAAGTTTTAAATACTAGGGTGTTTTTATTGCATCTAGCCCCTAACTTCTGGAACTCCCTCCCTCTCCACTCCGTCTTGCTACCCGTTTCTCTTTCTGTTTAAGCCCTGAATCAAATCCTACCTCTTTGAACATGTCTACGGCCACCTCCCACTCCCTTGCCCAATGTCCAAACCTGTCCCTGTAAAGTGCTTTATAAATACGAGTTGTTGATTCAATCATTTGCTAGCGAATCTTTCAATATGCACTTTTAGTGAAAATCCCATTTTAAGCAGACTTGTAACCAAATACCTATTATTAATGGTATAAACTTATTCAGCACATGAATACACAAAACAACATACTTAATTTTATTGCAGTGATTTGTTTCACCTTACAGCATAATTTGTGTTTTATTTTGAAGAATTCATGCACCTGCTTTATCAAACCTATTTCGTAAGGGTTTCTATGTGAACATTATATATTGTTTTCTGATTAACTGTGTATTGTGTGGAAAGATTCAATTATATAATTTATTTCAAAATGGTATTTTAAACATATGAGTTGCTTATGATAGTCAAATCATTAAGAAATGTTTTAGTAAAAATCTTTATAATCTGGGAATATGGGGGTGAACTAATACACTGTCTGTGAATAGGGATGATGATTGCAATAATTACAAATGTTGATATTGGTGCAAGGTGCTGCAGCAAACAGATTAGTTTTATTGAGTCATTCACATGGGAGAAGGGTTTTATTGAGTTTCATTAAGGATCATTAATGAATTATCTTCTGCTAATTTCAAAATAAATTAGTAAATTGCTCCAGAATTAAGAGTGTTTGTTCTAGAGTCCTAGAATGGATGGGAAGTTATTGATGCAGTGAGGGATGTTCATCTTATGATGAGCTCAATCACACCATATCTTATCTGATATGACTCTGATCGTACCTTATCTTCATATCTTATATGATACAACTTTGTCAACAACTTTCATTGTTTTCAGGTTCTAAATGCCAAATCCGTTGAACACATGAAACATCAGAAAAAGGAAGAAACTGAAGTCCATATTTATGAGTACAGTTGGGCACAACCCAAGTGTCCAAATACTAGGCGTACCGTAGACTGCGATGGCCACTGTCATCCCTGGTGATCTTTTAGAAGTAAAGGATACTCAGAAGGTTCTAGCGGGGAAACGTAAACGTAGTGAAAACAAATCCAGAAAATCCTTTCCTTGTCAGTTGTGTGGGAAGATCTTCACTAGTGTTGAGAAGTTGAAAGTGCATTCATATTCACACACAGGAGAGAGACCCTACAAGTGTTCACACGAAGACTGTACCAAGGCTTTTGTGTCCAAATATAAACTTCTGAGGTATGGAAAAGCCTATACAGAATAGGGACAATTTCTGTTTCACAGCTACACAAGGTATACTTGACTCTGATGTTTTTGTTAACCCATCAGCCTCAATAATCTGACATATACAGCAATTCTAAATTTCAGATTTGGACTTGTTTTGATCAAGAATATGAATATATACATCTTATGTAACAAAACTATTATTTAACAGCAGATATTTCAAGTCTGCGGCAAATTCAGTTGAGGATAAAGTAAATTTTGACAAAAAAAATCAATTATTGGTTACTAAGGCTGAAAGTAGTGCACCTGTCCCTCATATGGATTGAAGCACATTTTGATATCAGAGACAATGGACATTTGATTACATTTATATTTTAAGTGTTAAATTCTGAATAACACTTAAGGCACTGTTATATTTCTAACTGCTATTTTTTGTTGTATTTTAGTCTTGTAAAATGTGCAGAATTTCTGCAACAAATTCAGACAATTCTACATGTTTAAACTTAATATTTCATTAGACATTCAAACAACTGAATACAGTAATTTCATGGTATCTTTGTTCTACCTGTTTCCTGCTGTCTTTCACTGCTTTTTGCCATACATGCTTTTTGTCGCACTTGCTATTTTCTGGGAATGTATATTAACAAAGTAACATCTTAAGGGATAGATATTGTGGAGTAATAAATCAGATCTAATTGTGCAATAATTTATTCGTGCCTGGGAAAGGAGGTAACCTAACCCCGGCCCCTTAACAATATCACTGTAAAATGACCAACTGGAACATCCTAGGGTAACTTACCTGTGATGCTCTGCTCTGTTTGTTCTCTTTTTACTGTGGGAATATCTTCCTAGCCGGTACCTAACGTTCCTTGTAAAAATCAAACTGAAACCAACACTTGGAACTTGCCACGTTGAGAATTATGGGTATGAACTTCTATGCTGTGTTTTTAATTCCAATTAACTAGCATAATCATATTGTAAGATTTACAGCTGGTAAAACTAGAAACTACAATAAAGCAATACATTCACAGCAGTAGCCCAATCTGGTATCCATTTGTTCACAGAAATTGACACTTTTATTTTAAGCATTTGTAACCAATGGAATTTAAATAAAGATAGAAACAATTTCCTAATGATCTGAACACAAGGTTAAGGTTTCTCAAATATCATAAAGAATAAATAGATATGTTTTCTTCCCATAATAAATTTACAAATATCTAGGTTGATTATTTTTTGCCTTAGAAATCTGTAATAGAATAATAAACAGATCATTTTGGGGGGTTTATATTCATTTAAATATTGCCACCTTAATTCAGAAATAAAAAGAAAATGTTCTATTCTACAATATTCAATGTTGGGCCGGATTATTTCTTTCTTCATGGATTATTAACAAAAATGTAGACATAAACAGACAACATTAAGAGATCACACAAAGGCTGAATCCTGTTTACCAAGATTCTTTGACTATTCACATTCCTCAAACTAGAATTCAATCTTGTGAAAAACGCTGTTTGTTTCTAAAGCCAATTAAGATGGAACTTTTGCAGCATTGCATAACCAGGAAAGCACATTGAAAAGTGAATATTTAACTTCTATGTCAAATCTGGAGTTAGTGAACTTAATAAATGGGAAGATTTTGAGCATCGCCACAGCACAAGTGAATGGTTCAAAGGAATTTTCAGACCTGAAACGTTTGGGAATATATTATAATAGAGGAAGAAATGACAATTCAGGAATGCAGAAAGCATAGGAGATACTTGACCTGAAACTGGCAGTGGGTCTGCTGCAATAGAATGAGCTACCGCATAAGAGAATGCAAAATGCTTGAAATTAAAGCTTACTAGGGAGACTGTGACCAAGATTTATCACTTGATACAAAGACCTGCAGGGATTGTCCGCCAGTTATGATTGCACTGACCAGTGATAGTGGAGGGCACAACTCTCAACTGTTACTGGGTCCCTCTTGGAACCTACTCCCACCAGAAGTTAGCTGATTTGTTATCTTCCTGAATTTAGGGACAATTGAAGTGTTTTACCGGGTTTCTACTGCATGTGCCTCAGCAGCAGACAAGCAGTTGGAGCCAAAGATGTGTGCCAGAAGGTCTCGTTGAAAGTTATCCCGTGAGCTGTGCAGTTGGATACTATCTTCATTTTACATACTATTTGACATCTGCTTATTTTATATTGTATACTACCCAACTTTAGTTTGTGTTTGTACAATGATCCTTTATTTTAGGACAATTAAAGAATGATAGACTACAAGTTGCATTAAAATNAAAAATTATTGAGTTCTGTGATGCTAGTGGTTTACTTGTTTAATGTGGTTTGCTGCATGCGGGCTGTTAAATAGTACTACTAGTTAGTGGCTACGTATGTAACTGCAACAACAACAGTAACTTGCATTTATATAGTACCTTTTGCACAGGTAATAGTGTTTCGGAGCGTTTAAAGTGGCGGAGCCTGATGCCCAACCGGAAGAAGAGGGGAGGTGACCATAAGCACAGTCAAAAGAGGAAGGTCTTCAGGCGAGATTTGAAAATGGGAAAGGAGGGACCAAGGGAGAGAGTTCCGAAGTTTTGGTGCCAAATGGCTGCACCTGTATTATACATACCACCGGCAAAAAGAAAACTTGCAATTTTATAGAACTTTGTTACATCACGTAGCTCAGTGGTTAGAGCACTCGCCTCGCAAGCGAGAGACCTGGGTTTGATTCCTGGCAAGGTAAAACCTTGGGCAAGTTTCCTTACTCCACACGCCTGATAATAATCCCTCAAGAAGAAAAAACAATAATAAATTGGTCACTTAATCCATGACTGTTTGTGGGACACTACTGTGCGCAATTGGCTGCCGCGTTTCGCCTACAAATATACAGTCAATTCACTTTACAGTATATTCTGTGAAGCACGTTGAGACGTCTAGAATACGTGATAAGGCACTATAACAAATGCAAGGATTATTATTATCAAAATATCTTGAAGTAGTTGATAGGTAATTATTGGCCTCACAAACAAACAGCAATTAGGTGAAATAGTCTATTTAATCTGGAAGATTATTGTCGCAAACACCTGGAGAAACTTTCTTCTTTTAAAAAATATAATGGAATCTTTTAATGTCCACCCGAAACGGCAGATGGGACCTTGTTTTATTCAAGACAGCATTTCCTACTATCCTTGCCACAATCTTGCAGCATTCACTGGAACTATGTGCCTGTGGTGTTTGAACTCAAAAACATTCTGATCCAGACACGACTGCTACAAACCTAAGCTAAGATGTCAGCTGTTGGAGTCTGTCCCCTCGAGATGTTCACTGATCTGTGCGAGCATAGATAATGATGATCTGTTAGGCTTCAGAATTGCTTTGTCATAGCCATCTTTTAACTATTCTCCAATAAAGTAAAAGTTGTCTGTTCTTTTGAAACCAACCCTTCGTAACAGCAATGGGATCATACTAGATGCCTAATTTTGTGTCTGGCCTATGTAAGCAAAGTTTTTACTGCAGATACTTCTGATATTACTTTGTTCACAATGGCACACTGCAGTTCCATTTCATTAATCATGTGCAAGATAGCACATTACATCTGTGCTAAGATTCCTCCATACTTTCAAATGTCACTGAATAGAGACTAGTGGCTGTGAAACAGCCCTGTTGAACTACCAATCTCCTTTTAAAAACAGTTAAAAGTTTAGGTATCTGTGCTGAGGCTTCTTTCAACCAGGGATGGTAACTAATGATCCGCTTGTGTTTGTTGTTCATCTGCCGCAACAGACACTCCACTGGGATTTCCTTTTTCTGTGACTAGAGCAGATGTACAAGCCCAAATCTATCCATTCACATTGCTCCGACACAGTTGAAGAGGAGTCCTGTAGCTTAGTGGTTAGAGCACTCGCCTCGGAAGTGAAAGGACCTGGGTTCGATTCCCAGGCAGGATGAAATGTTGGGCAAGTTTCCTTACTCCACATGCCTCTCTTTACCTAGTAGTAAGTAGGCACCTGGTTGTTAGTTGATTGGCGGATTGCTTTTCCGGTGGTAATAATTCCTTAAAAAATAATAATAATAATTTAGTTTCTCAATCCACGACTGTTTGTGCGACACTGCTGTGTGCAATTTGCTGCCGTGTTTCACCCACAAAATATACAGTCAATTCGCTTTCTAGTATATTCTGCGAAGTGCTTTGAGACATCTCAAAGACGTGATAAGGTGCTACATCAAATGCAAGGATTATTATTAAGATTGTCATTGCATGTAGTTATGCATGTTCTTGGAATTACAAAATTGCTGCAGCTATAAAATTGGTACCTACTGCTAGCAATCGCGTTTCCTTGTCTATGTTATCGAGGTTGTTTTTCTCTATTAAAAATGCCCTGACATCACTCTGTTAAGATATCTATTAACACTTGCTGAACAATGTCCAAAATATCCCAAATCCTATTACTCCACAAATTCTTCACTGCACAGCTAGATTTTCAAACTTCCAACTTTTTTAAGATCACGTGGCTTGTTAGGTGAATCAGAAATTCAAAATTTCAGTTGTGTTATCTGAAACCCTCACCTGGGAATGCCAGGCAATAATATGATTAAAATGTTTTTCTTACATTTTTAATGAGTTCTATGAATTCTTTACATTTTGTTAATACGAAAGCTTTAATTTCCTCCTTGTTTAGATTTATGTTTAACTGCTAATTATAATTACTAGTAGAAAGACAGATTCCAACGACTTAAATTTATGGGGGGCAGAGCATCAGACACATTTTAATTTTGTAAACTTTACTCCAGTTATTCTCCAAACACCAAAGACAATTCTGAACTCCCCATCTGGTGGTTTTATGGCCAATGAATATAGAAATGCGAAATGTCTCAAAACATTCTTTTAAAGTAAACCATGCTTGGGTGTGTTTTAATCCAGGTTCTATAAAATGTGCAAATAATATCCAAATATATTTAGAATAATATTTACATTATTTGAAGAATTGTTCTCCTGAAGCCCACCTAATCAAAGTATACCGGTGATACAAAAAAAATATTCTGTCAGTACATCCTAGCATCTTAGCTGTTTGTTTGGCAATCAGCATTTATCAGTGTCTTGATGTACCAAGACCTGTTTTGTTGTTTGCAATGAACTAATTGTTTCACAATACATTGTTTTATGTCTTATTTTGTTGAAGTAAAATCATGATCTGTTTCACAGTTAATAGATAAAACACTAACTATTAAACCATCAATTAATGTTTTGCTTTTGCACAAATCTTAACCTGAGAGTGAAGTGGAACATCGGAGATGCATTTTGTGAAGTATGTAAAGCAAGAGGGTTTCCAGACACTTTAAAAACAAAAATCACATTTTGCAGGAAAACATTCTGATGATGGAAAAAAATTCTACAATTCTTTGTTAAGGTCATTTATTATGGACTCTTTTTCTTATTCATGTCAGCTTTTATTTCCTTATTCAAAATATATCATTAGTTATCCTGAAAAACATTTTAAACCAGTAATGTTTTTAGTCATTTTTTTGCAAAAATTAGCTTGCTCTAACTTGCATAATTCAATTTCTATTCTTTCACTGAAGGTGCTCTTGTAATACTACTGTAGAAACATTCTAAAATAACATGGAAGGGAGGTCTTCATTTTATGTATTCTATTTTACATTACTCTCTATCCACATTATCCATTTACTACCTTTATAAATAAACTGCACCTTCTCATCTTGTATTAGTATTTTACCCATCCATATTTTATCATTTCCTCTTGGATGTTGAGTTTGTAGATATTGGAAGATAGTGAAATACGATTAACAAATTTCATTTTAAATATCAATTTTTAACAAGAGAACTTAATATTGTATTTTCCACTTTTGCATGGAAAAGTTTTACTTTTTATTTCAGAAGCATTTTAATACTAGTATAATTATATCTTCATCTTAACCATAGTTGCATGGAAATAGATGTTCATAAACTATGTTCCAGTACAATGTTTTAAACTGTTTTAATATTGAAAAAAAATGATTTTCTTCACATAACATAGATGAATAACTTCATAAATTAGATAGTCTTAATTTATATTTTGTTACATTTAAATGAAGCTTTCCAATAATTTTTATGAATGTTCAAAATTATCGACTAGAATTATGATAATTATAGACCTATTTAAAAATTCAGTTTTATTACTATGGACATCTAATATTTAAACGTTTCCAACTCTGGAGGGAAGGCTAATGAAGTTTGCTTTTGTGCATATTTTAAAATAGGTTTTCCAGTATAAATAACAACTTTTCTTTATTCAAGGCATATGGCTACCCATTCACCTCAGAAGACCCACAAGTGTACTTATTGTGAGAAAATGTTCCATCGTAAAGATCATCTAAAGAACCATCTTCAGACTCATGATCCAAACAAGGAGGCCTTCAAGTGTGAAGAATGTGGAAAAAACTACAATACAAAGCTCGGCTATAAGCGTCATCTAGCTTTGCATGCTGCAACAAGTGGTGATCTTACCTGTAAAGTGTGCTCACAAACATTTGAAAATACTGGCGTGTTACTAGAGCATCTGAAGACGCATGCTGGAAAATCATCAAGTAGTACAAAGGAAAAAAAGCACCAGTGTGACCACTGTGATCGTCGTTTCTATACCCGCAAAGATGTTCGGAGACACATGGTAGTACACACTGGAAGGAAGGACTTCCTTTGCCAGTACTGTGCTCAGAGATTCGGGCGGAAGGACCATCTGACCCGCCACATGAAGAAAAGTCATTCACAAGAGCTGCTAAAGGTCAAATCTGAACCACCAGACTTTTTGGATCTATTTGGCTCTAATCAATCGTTATCATTAAAAGATGAGCTAAGTCCAGTTATGTCAATGGTTTCCAGTGAACTGACATCTAAGCCATTTACAAATACTTTACAAATGAATATCTACAGTGCCCATATACAAACCATGCAGGCATTAGGATCAACAAACCAAATGGTCACTGCACCATTGCCTTTAGGAATGAATTACCCACTGGAAACAGAATCAACTATTCGCTCCCCTTCTCAAGAACTCGCCACAAAATATTTTCTTGGTTCTACCTCATATGCCATTGCAATGCCTGATAAAGGACATCCATTAAAAAGTGAGATTGAGAGTTATTTAATGGATCTACAAAGTGATTTGTTGCCCTCCACCCATGATACTCAATCATCCCCAACAAAACTAGGCTTGGAATCCCAGACAGGATCTCTAGATGACGGATCTGGAGATGTTTTACTTTCAAAAAGTCCAATCCTCAACGAACATCTGAATACATCGGGCCTGGAATTTTCTCAGTTGTTAAGTTTCTTGCCACAAAATGGTCCTCCCTACAATCAACTTGTTTCTTTGGGCAATCCTGGAATGAATTATACCCAGGAGGAGCCTCACTCTTCCCTCATTCCATTCCCACCCCAGTGCCAAGATTCACAAGAAACTGGAAATAATATCGGTCTCAATGCTCTTCATCCATTATCTACAATCTTCACAACTAGTCTAAGCACAACAACCCTACCACGTTTTCACCAAGCTTTTCAGTAGAGATTAAGATTGTCTTATTCAACCTGCTCTCTCTTTGCAATCCACTTCCATATGATACTAGTTCAGAAGAATAAAGAGAAGCCAGTGGGCTGTATTCTACTTTATGGCTTCTGATATCCATGCTGCTTTTTGAATAGTCACAAGAGTACAAGGAAAGATGGACAACACAGAACTGTCTGTTTTCCTTTATGACGGGATCATCCTATCAGCAGCTCAACTGCTGACAACATTCATCAGAGCCATTAATAAATACATCAGGCTCCAAGTTACTACAAGGACTCAAACTGATGAGTCTAGAGGTGCCCAGTAATTCACACACCTTAGCACTGCATCCTACCCAATGACCAAAATGGTCCTGATAATACTACTTTTAAAGTTATGATAGTAAAAGTACAAGTAATCTTTCATTTTTAGTGATGAGAGTAACTGCTAAAGCACAGTGCCTTGTATCATTTTTGTGAATGTTTTAAGAAAATTCTATTCAGCATACTTAATGACTTTATTGCTGTTCTGCTTAATGATTTTTTTAAAAAGAAATTCTACTTGTTATTCCCTTCAGGAAGCTGTTATAAAAATGTCCACAAGTGCTTACAAATAGTTGAACATCGAGGTTCCTTTGGACTTGAGGTATAACCATGTGGCTTAGCGAGGTCATTAAAAAACACAAAGAATTTTCCAATTTATTCCATTCTACTGTGCTATGCTGAGAATATTTCCATATAGGTCAATAAACAAATTTGATGCATTTTTTTTAAAAAAATCCCTCAATGGTTAGGAAGCTAAATGTCTGCACAGTAATGTGGCAATAAGAATCTTAGGTAAATTTTGCTTTCCAACTTGATGAGACAAATGTAGTGATTTTTTTCAATTTATTATTTAGGAAAACTTATCTATGGCTTATGCAACCAATATACCTTTGAATATTCAGGCACATTTGTATAAAATCCATAAGCATCTTTAAGTATATATTTATCGTCTAAGCTTCCAATACATATTAATCTCCATCAATGTATTGATTTTAGCCAGCAAATTTTAAATATTCGCTCAAAAAATTACTATAAAAACTCAATTGTTTGCTTTAAAAGTGTGTTTTTAAGTTCATGAGATGTGCTCCAAAAGTAAAGTACAACTTTAAGAGAGGCAAGTAATCAACTGACAGAAAGAAATAGTATAGAAAATACATTTTAGTGCTTTTAGTCTTTTTATAATAGAGTATGAAAATTTTCCTTGATTTACTTTGAATTTTAAGCAGTATAGCATAGTTTAGCTTATATGTATGTGCGTATATATATATATATATAGCTAAACGATTTTGATTATTTACTGTATTTTATTTACTTCTTTGTTCACTTACCTGCTGCTTTGAAAACCATTTACATATTATGAGAGAACCGGTTTCCTCCACCCTTCTTACAGAATTGGTCTCATCTAAATTTGAGATTCTGGTCTTTGCTTTGAATTGGTTTCCTTCAAAGATGCTTGAGTGGTTTCTTGCTCCACCAAGGGCATATGGATTTGCCCTTTCTTGCCATGATTATCATAATCTACTTGAACTCATTGCTTCATTGATTAAATGAAAACAGTTTTTTGCTTTACAAAAAATGAAGTATAATCCCTTCCCCATAAAAACTTCAAGGATCTATTCAAATTATAAAGTAACAATCAAAGACATGATAAGTAGTTTCCATTATTTTGTGGTTTAAAAATACATCTGTAACAAAATCCCTGTCTGCATATATCTTGAATTTTCAAACAAACTTTCTTTAAATGTCATAAACTGGTCAGATTGGAATCTATTTTGTGTTGACAAGTATAATTAGCCATTATATTATAAATGGCACCTTGCTCAAATATAACAGCTAGAACTCCACTGGCAGAGCTTGATCAGTTATACTGTACTCTATAAAGTATAAATGATCAGAGTTGCTATCTGTTCACTTCTTAGAAGCCATTTTATAAATTAAGGATTGTAAATTTGCCAAGCTATATTCCAATGCAGCTTTGGAAATTCTGGCCTAATTCCTTCATTGGTTAGTAGTTGGAGGCATGTGATGAGTGATGCATAAAATGTTATATATGAGATCAACTAAAGAAATTGTGCATCACTTCATTCGGGGAGTTCGCAAGTACATAAGCTTAGTGAAATGTTGCTAACCCAAACTATTGAGACAATGGATTTTCCCATCTTTGATTTGCCTTTTGCTTTTCAAAAGGTTGATAGTCTTGTTTTGTTCATGGTAACTAGTTACAGCAAATGGCAATTAATGTTTTTAATACAGTACTTAACTTGTTGATACATTTCCCAACGTGCTTCACATACTGAGTTGCTTTAAGTTGAAGTGATTCTTATGTAAGCAAACATTGTAGCTGACTTGTTCCAGTAAGAACCCACAAAAATAATGTGGTTTAAGAATACATCTCTAACAAAATCCCTGTCTGCGTATATGAAAGACAAATTAATCTTTTGGAGGTGATTTGGATGGATGAGGGAGAAATATTTGGATGAGGTGCAACGTCAGAACTCTCTGCTCTTTAAAATATTGTCATGTTATTGTTTAATTTCCACCAGATCAGGCAGTCAGGACCTCATAGAAAGGATATTATCTCTTATGATGCAGTAATCCCTCAGTACTGCACGAGAGTGTCAGCCTATGGGATTTTGTGATTGAATTATGGCATGAGGCTTCAACTGACTACAAATGAGTCGAATTGAAACAAAAATGATCAATATATTGTACTACTGTACTGTTTTGGTTGTGTATTTTTATTTTAAAATACCTGATATTCTGGAATAATCAATTTGTATTGTTCACACTCATGCATATTAACTCCATCCCCCAGTGCCTTCGCCTTGCTTCCTCCCTTTCCTCCTTCAAGGCCGGTCTCAAGACCTTTCTCTTTGACCGAGCCTTCAGCTCCCCTCTCGACTCTCTTCCCCCTCCTCGCTCCCTCCCTTCCCTCACCCTGATCATTTCCCTCCTGCTCGGGTCCTGACCCAACTATCCAGCACCTTGGGACATCCTCCCGACGTGAAAGGCGCTTTATAAATGAAATCTTGTTGTTGTTGTTAACAGGTTTGGTTGTATTTCAGTTTTAAGTGTATTAGCTCTTTCTTGCCCACTTGGTTGATGAGGAAGAACAAATTGCAATGGAAATATTTTTACTTTTCATTTGGCTGTAGTAAGCTTTCATTATTTTCTAGTTATACTTTTTCAGCCTTAATATTGCACTTTAAGATTTATTCAATAATCATAAACAAACAATCAGTGAATTAGAGTGCATTGAAGTACATAAATAATAAATGTTACATAATGTGATTGTTCAAGAGTTAGATAAAGTAGATGCAATGTCTTGAACCAAAACTACCTTTATATTGAAATTCACAGCACTGTGCTTGATCAAGAACATTATTGATACTTCTGTATCATCAATTAATATTTTGTTACACAGATTTGTAAGTCATCCAAATTGTTTTCCAGTAGACAAAATAATGGAAGCATGAAACTACAGCAAAGTAAGGTTCACATATCTAGGAGAATTTTCATTATATTAAATGAGGAAAAGGAGCAGCATCCTAAGAGACAAGCCAAGAGTTCTGCTTGAACTAGTTTGAAAATGTAAGGATTAATGTACTATAATTATATTAAGATATCTGGCCATTGAGATCAAGATTTAAAGATGTTGACCAAAGGACATGGTCAAAGATTTCTTTCTTGGAGGATTTTAAAAGCAAGGAGTGTGTCAACAAAGCCAAACAGTTTTGAAATTAACCCAGGTTCCTGCTGCTAATCACTAGCCAATGCCTCTTGCTGGTAAGTATTTGTGTTATCAGGTGAAGGCAGGATCATTGTCTTCTACCCCAATGACACCTTCAAGTGAGGAAAGGGGGAACATTGGAGGAGGAAAAATTCCAGAGAAAGGCTTGAGGTGGTGAGAAATCCAGACAAAATGAGCACAATTACATTTTAAGTAAATACTTATGATGGTATCAGTTTTTGCAGAAGTATCCTGAAATGATATTCAAGGATATTTGTTTTCTGTGAATCAGCTTTTAGTTCTGATAGGCATGAATTAATACATTTAGTTAACAATAACTTGATCAAGTTAATGAATCATTGACCAATCTCCCAAACTCCTCTATATGCAGTAAATGCTCAAATAAAAGGCTACCTGTAGAGAGTAACTAGATATGTGTCAACAATGAATGTTTCTTCTACAAGCTCTGAGCACTCCAGCAGTAACACTCCAGTAATATTTCACTATATGCTTGTAGTAGTATCTCAACATGATTTTTTGTTGGATATATAATTGATAAATGTATGTAACTTCTGTGTTGGTATTGAATGGGACTGAGTTCCCATGATGAAAACTGCATCATATTGGTTATAGTTTTTTTGTATTTTTCCCCTGTAGTTATATTTTCACAAACTACAGAAGCAGTGCAGTTAATGCCCAAAGATAAGATAAAGGAAAATTTATGTCATTATCTTTAAGTGCTGGTTGATTGCTACCTGAATTGGAAAATTTGCATTTATATTTGGTCACAAATGTGAATTGATTCTATCATTTTCAAGTGAGTAACTGGATGTGTTGATGGCTCATCACTTAAAATGTGAAGAAAGCATTACAATTTTGAACCTTGACTTAGTCAGGCTATTGGATCTCGCTACATGGTGAACATTTACTCACAGGGTAGGGCTGGTGCTTAGGCACCATTATATAAGCACCATTCAGTATAATGACAAATATTCTCCCCCTCCTGGAGATTAAGGGCAAAGGAAGATAAACATTTATAGAATCTTCTAAATATGAAATTGGTGACTACAAGATAACACACATGCCGTTATATTAACACTTAGATACCCTTAAGAGCAATATATTCAACCCATGAGGGAAATTAAACAAATCTGACATTTCTTAAGTTCTGCTGAATATTTGGAGGGGGAGGATAGGATTTTTATACAATATTTAGTCTAATGTAGGTCGAGATTGAATATGTACTTGGCATATGAAGGAACCAATAAATACTGTATCCATGTTTT